TAAATCACAGAAAGACAATGTGGGAAAGCAAAAGGAAACTGAAGCTAAACTACCTCAGCAGGACCTGTTTACACTGATAGAGGTGAGGTCAGACCAGTGCCTCTCCATACACCTCAACCACTCCTGCTAACAATCCCTGTTCTTGTCTTCTGGTAGGAACCTAGTGTGGGCCAATATGAAAACCAGCAGTGTGAACTGTAAAGTTGTCAAACCAAGTTCATCCCATATGTAAATGCAAAGTCATATTTTGTGATCTCCAAAAACCAGAGTGATGGCTGTGTTCTCAAAAATAGAGGGGGAACAGCAGCAAGGCTCACTCTCAGCAGGCATAAAATTCTGCCACCCCAAGCTTCAGAGGGGTGATACTATTCCACATCAGCCCAAATTCTGTGGCTGCTGTGCTTGATGTCCTTATTTACACACTCATTAACACACAGAAAGGGTTTTACGGGGAGCAACGTGGTGATGAAGCTGTGCAGATTTCTCTACTGTTCCCTTCTGAAGTATTAGATCAGTTCCGTGATGGTTGGTGTAGAGAACCATGTGCATGAGTAGTTTGATTTCTGAAGCTAACAACTACAAAATTTCTGTACTACTGCTGGCTTTAAGAAAACAGGAAAAAAAAAAAAAATGAAAACAGAAGCATTGTTAAGAAAATCAATTTTTATTTTATTTTATTTTTTATTTTTTATGGGATACTCTGTATACTTTTGTTAGACAAACCGACACAATGATTTAACATTTTTTGACAATCTGATCCCAGGGGCAGCATTCAGCTCCATGCTGTATGCATGTAAATTTAGGTATCTAAATAGGGGGGCTCACACGTGTCTGTCTGTTGCCATCTGAGCTAGGCATCCTGCCTGAGCCCCAGTGGCTTTTCCCGAAGGGCACAGATCTCCCGTCTGCCCTGTGTCACATCTGGCAGCCTCGTGCAGACGCTCATCTACCCTAGGGCACTAGATGCTTATGTGTAAGCCCACTGGAAACTGTAGAGCCATTTGACTAATTCGGAAAGAGCCATCTCATTTAGTCATCTGTATCCCACTCCAGTCCATTATCTGTATTGACTGGATCTCCACTGACTATAACGGGAGCATGACATGCAGACATGACATTTAAGTGCCTATAAGCTGGAACTGATGGTCTGTCACCCCTCCCCAAAGAATTTAATGTTCTCCAAATGTAAGGACACAAAGTCAGAGGCATGTGAAAGCACGGGATCATAGAATCACAGAATGGTTTGAACTGAAAGGGACCTTAAAGATCATCTAGTCCAACCCTCCTGCCACGGGCAGGGACACCTTGTACTAGATCAGGTTGCCCAAAGCCCCATCCTGCCTAGCTTTAACACCTTCAGGAATGAGGGATGGACCTTAAAAGCTTCACCAAGCGTCTCAGCAGATTAGCGTTCCAGTTTCATTTCATTTAGCAATCCTATAAATCATTTTAGCATCAACAAGACCATTCAAGAAAGCAGTTGTTTCAGTAAATGAGGTTGGTTCATGGGCAGAGTTAAAGCCTAAACAAATCTTTTTATTGAGTTCAGTACTCTTTAATCAAAGTAGGATCTCTATTTCAGATTTAAGTTGTACAGGTTTAACAACTTATAAAACAAACTAAACTAAACTAAACTTAAAAAAAAAAAATCTCTACACAGCTCTACAGAGCATTGGTTCCTACCAAATTCAAAAGCAGCCGGTCAGTCTAAACTATCTGGCTCTGCCTCTCAGCAGAGTTTGGTGGCATAAACATCTCACCACAACCCTCAGATTCATGTCTTCCAGAGGGGACATGGATAACCATGCACCACCCAACTGTCTGCACTCATCAGTGCTGATGTTACTTGGCAGTCTCCTGTTTTGCTCACAAAGAGAACAGCAATACAATATTGTTAGCTGTAAAACAGGGATCAAATATGCCTGAACAGTATTTTAGCTATACTTACAATTGCCTCTTGTGTAGGTAGATATTTTGAAGAGTAAAGGGAGATTACTAATGGCAATCTGTAGGCTTGGCGCCTCGCTGACTTGGCCTGGCGCCTTGCTGACCTGGACCTGGATCCTGACATGCTGAGTTGACTCTCTGGCTTGACCTTGTGCCACCACAGACATGTCTGTCCATCAGTCATTGGAAGGAGGCTGAGCTGGGTTACCACCCTGGGACCTGTTTGCCTTGCTCAGGTGCTAGTGACTGTGCCTTGCCAGTGAGGACACTGCTCCTGCCTGCCTCGTGGTCTCTCCCCTTCCCTTACAGCACAGCCTTGCTGCTCCCGACATCACATTATCTAGTGTCATAAAGGGTTTCCTGGGAAGGCTGTAGAATAATTGACCAGGTAACAATGCAGCAATTAAAATTCAATATAAATAAAGGTGAAATTATGTACATAGATAAAAAAAGTCCCAACTTTGTAAATACCAATGTTGAGCTCTGAGTTGATAGTCACCACCCATAAAATTTCAGTTATGAAGAGACTGTTTCTATTATAAGGTTGCTACTTAGGCGTTCACTATCTATATTTAAGCTAGCAATTATCCTGTAAGGTACAAACTAAAAGTAAAAGCAACAGAAAACCCCGGTGCTATCACTGTATATCACTATGTTGTATATGTGAATGTTGTCCAGCTGGATGGTTACATGAAGGGCTTTAACAACAATACTCAGCTTTCAACCCCAGATTGTAAACAGTCTGTGAAGAATTTATACTTCTGTGTATTCAGTGAAGTGCAAAGAGAACATGGCCATGCTGTGGCTTTCCTCTTCCAGCTCAGGACAAAACTGCGTGCATGCACTCAGTGATCACTGTCCTTCCATTTGGATTCTCCATGCCATCCTGTCCCACAGTAGCTGTCTGGCATCAGGAAATAGTAATACCTAAACTGCACTGAAAGGGCAAATAAAGTAACTTAACATCCCTTAGAAGACAACCCAGAACACTTGCTTCCCTTTAAACACAGCAATTCAAATATTGCTAAGACTTGATATCCAGTCCTCACTGGAGTTGTGCTGTAGCTGTCCACAAGGCCTGGGTTTCACTCTGTTTGTGGTACTTCAAACACAGTATATGAAAAATGAATAAAAAATCTGTAAGAATCTGTAAGAAGCGCAGGTTACCACTCAGAGATTTCGCAGAAGCACATCATGGCAGGGAAGTGTTGCATCGTCACGCATTGCCTCTGTGCTTAGGATAAGATCCACAGGATCAGGGAAAAATAAATGTGAATTCAAATTTGGGGTGACAAAAAACTTCTGTTCTTCCTCACATTTATTATTGTTACTGCGTTTCATTGTAAATCTATCTTTACTGTGTTTATTGTGGCATAAAAATTGGCATAATACATAGTGGCATAATATGGCAAAATATACAAAAATGACAAAAAAAAAAAAAAAAAAAAAAAAGGAGACACATCTTCAGTGAAAAAACATGTGCTTGAAAAGGAACTAAAGAACAGAAAGAAAATCCAGGATACACAGTGAGACCTTTTATTCTAAATTTAAGAAAAAGGAAAATGCATTTGAGTTGCTACTTATATTCAAAGAGTCATAGAAGAGAATAAAAATATTTATTTTCTCTACTGTGGAATTGTTTTAGATAGTAAGGCACAAGTGAACACGGTGATCTAGAGAATCGATCAATAGCTTTGACAAGACCATATAAGACAAGACCAATAGCTTTAAGTTACAACCATTTCTCTGTGTGTTTTGTTTTGCTTTCCTTTTTGTCACCTTTCAAAGCAGTAACAACCAAAGCCACCTGTGCATCACCACCTGCTTGATCCTCGCTGGTGATAGCAGATATTTTGCATCTTCGTTCAAACCACTCCACCCCATTCCTTGCTGTAATATTAACAACAAAACTTCCTGTTTGGGGATGCATTTCCGCAACAAATCCAATTACTGCGGCTCCAGGGAGGGGCTCAATGGGCAACAAATGCAACCAAGACAGATTGGTGTCACACGTATTTTTTAAAAGCTAGGTCCTCAGCATTGAGGCAGGCAAGACAACTGCTATAGCTTGGAATAGATAACAGCATTTTTAGCCTCCCCAAAATCCTTGTGAAGGTGAATTGATTCTGTGCCGGTTCTTGGCCAGTGTGGACTGGAAAGTTGTGCTTCATGAAATAAAGGCTTTAGAGATTTGCTGTAATTCATGAAGGACAAAGTTAATTCAAAGTTCAAAAAATGTAACGAAAAATAAGCTGTTGAAAAAGCATGCTCTTTCAAGAAAGAAAAGAAAGAAAAGGTTATATAAATGCTGCGATAGACATAGATAATTGTATCTTTAAAAGGAATACGAACTAGCCATATTATGATTTATCAAATTGTATCTTTATTTTGCCAAGCATTTATCTGAGCAATTTAGGTGAATGGATCCATGCACTCCCTGGTCTCAAACCCTACTTGCCAACACAATGGTAGGATGCTAAACTTGATGTATTTCATTGTTTCTTCAACAGCTTGACACCACGCTGCAGAGGAGTGTGGAGGAGCAGGAATTCACAGCAACACTTCCATACTTCTAGCAGCTGCCAGGAAGAGGCTGCACTCGCAGTATGAAAACTCTTGCAAACCCTACGATGATCCATGGATTTTTAGGGGCCCTCACTGTAAATTTATCACTATTTCCATTGTGCTTAGCAGTTTACATGTGCAAGAAGCTTTCACAGTGTGTTACTTCTGAAGTATCTGAATGGTCTCAGTTGACAGTCTGGTATTCAATCAACTTTTTACTGGATGGAATAAAGATAAAATGCTGCTACCAAAAATTATCAAGATATCAGCACCAAATTAGTTTCTCATGTGGAATTCAAGATTTAGTTTTTCAGTGCAGAGTGCAGACACAGCAGTTGTGCTTGTCAATTCATACCATACATAGGTGCATGCCTTTAGAGACCTTTCTTCAAGACCTGGTTTGGAGATATCTGAGCAGATGAGAACTGGTGGCAAGGGTCCCCCTCTTCTCCTGAGTTCCAAAATGAACAAAACCAACTTATGTTTTCCTAGGAAATAAATCCTTCAAAAACAGTGGCATGTGTTGATTTGTTTTTAAATATTTTTAAAGTAGGTATGTACTTACTTATTTTTTTTTTTGTTTGTTTGTTTGTTCATTTAGGTCTTCCAAGAGCTTCCAATCAGATCAATAAAGTTACAGTAAAATTTGTGAGTTACAACTGTATTTTATTGCCTTGTTGATCAGGCTATTTATAATGTGCATTGCACAGCTACATGCTAGGATATGTAAACTGTTATATCTGCATATCTACAGCTCTACAGCTGTTGAAGTGACATCATTCCCAAGTGTTTAAATGGATACCTTCATTGATACCACGTTTAGTGAGATGAACTGATTTCATTAATCTTCTGCAAAGGCTTCTACATGTAACAGTGTCACAGCAATAAATTCTTCCCACAGAGAGACAAAAACAGGCAATAGTGGGGAAAAAAAAATCGACTGAAGGATCACTCACTAAAGAGATTCAGATCATCTAGAAATGTAACAATACAGCAAAGACATATGTAACTGCACCTGAAATACTGGATTTATCTTTTTATCAGGAAGGTGATTTAGGAGGAGTAGGTGGAAAATAACAGTAATATTTTGGGTACTGAAAAACAGACAGAAGATAAGAAAAATCTTCAATGGCTCCACTGCCTTGTACTTTGAACAATTGCTTACATTAGCACCTAATGAACATAATACGCTAGAATTTTCATTAACAATGCCTCCAATTTATAGTCACTTTGCACTGAAGCAAGATCTTATTTCATGAAGTTACCAACAAATTGTTTGTATTAGGTGTATGGTTAAGTGGATCCCCATTTAACAAGGTTACTTAACCAGTTTGCAAATACCTTGGTACATATAAACTGTGTTTACCCTGAAGCCAAGCAGCTAGGCAGTATACAGGGCTATTTGGTTGAGATCATTTTCACTGGAAGAAAAAATACCCATTATCTCACTGCATATCCTGGTTTGCTCATCATCTGACCAAAGTCCTGTCTCCTAAGAGTAACAATGCACCAGCAGGAAGGTAATGTCCATGTCCAGAAGCCAAGCTCTATTTCCAGATAGGTCTGAGAATTTCTGGTCCATATAGAATTACAGGTGGCAAATTTTACTGTTTGTTTTATTCCTGAAATGGAATAGAGGAATGAACACAAATGTGATGTTTGCTATTTTCTGTTAAATGAGAACTGTATCATTCTATCACAGTGGTAACAGAGAACTATTTCATTAAATAATATGAATTAAAAATCTAATAGAAGTTTTGAAAAAGGCTGTAAGCCAGTGACTAAGAAATACTTCTTCCTTTGGATCCCCCTTCAAGCCACGCTACCAGCACTCTCCTATGCTCTTTCTAACCTCCCAGTTGATTTCAGACATGGTCACGCAGTCTGATTCTCATGCAGCCAAATCAGCATCCTTCTTCTTCCCCATTCTTGGAGTCACTCTGGTTTGACCATCACTAAGGTGGAGGTGGTGCCTCCTACAACTAGGTCAGCGATACTTTACCTTGATGACACAAGGCGGTGACCTAGTCAGAAGCATTCTGCCAGCTGCAAAATATTCCAAATATGTTGCTGGGTCAACTATGCCACAACAGGCATTGCCTCTCTGTGCAAGTGATCTATTAGACTCCCCACAGCTGCCTCACTATCTTTTTCACCAGTTCCTCCTTGCTGCCTCCTTGTCATTGATGCTGGAAATTGTCGGGTCTGGATGCTGCAGGTTTCAGTCTGGCATTTTTTCTTTCTCTTCAGGCTCTCACCTCAGCCAAACGTTTCCTTATTTTTCACTCAGTCTGTCCATTGAGCATTTGCCTTCCTCAGAGCCTGTCTTGTTTACCCCTCTCCCCTTGCATCTAGAGCACCAGCACGGTATAGCCCATGCTGGAGCAAAAATTGGGTTTCCCAGGTAAGAAGGTCATTTGGCAGGTCCTTTCCTGTTTTCCTTTTTATCACTCGCCAGGCACAGAGCCAGGAGCGGGGCACTTTGCCAGCACACAGGCTGCTCTCACCCCACCCTGGACCTCGTGTCTTCGTGCCTACCTCACCTCTGGAGCGGTGCCTGGGGCCGCACCCCTCGCTACACCCCTGCAGCAGCGGAGCCACTCCTGGCCCTGGCGCTGGCCCCAGCTCCTCTGCCTCTGCCCCACCTGGGGAGCCGAGCCTTGTGCTTTCCGGCTGCCTTCCTCCACGCATGCAGCCAGGGCTGATTCCACTGCCTGGGGTCTCTGTGGTGGCTTGCACTGGGAATGCAGACAAGGCATGTGCACAGACAGAACAGTAATTTATTCCACCTGAGAGAAGGAGAGAATGCTGGCTGTAACAATGCTTGTCTCCCAGATAGGCATCAATCAGACATGTAACGTTACGTACTTTTAATTGATCTGTAGGTTGATGTGGTGATATAGCATCCTCAGACACTCCCCAGAGACAATAGGCTCCTCTCCAGGCAGCTCTTCCAGCACCGCTGTTCCCCTTCTCCTGGGATGACTTTTGCTTCAGCAGCAGCAGAACAAAATCAGCGCTTGTTGGCCGGGATGGAGTTCAGAGAATCACAGCATCGCAGGATGGGATGTCTGGAGATTATCTGGTCCAACTCCTGCTCAAGCAGGGCCACCTAGAGCTGCTCTCCCCCCCCAGCAAGGAGGCTGAGGGTGCACAGAGCCAGGACAGCTGTGTACAGCCTAACCAAAGGGATATCCCTTACCATACGATGTGTCCAGCAATAAAAGCTAAGACAAAGGAGAGGGGGGAGTTATGTGGTTTTGTCATTAATATTCCCAAATAACCATTACACGTGCTGAGGCCTTACTTCTCTGAAAGCAGCTGGACATCTGCCTGCTGACGGGAAGCACTGAATGAACTCCTTATTTCGCTTTGCTTGTACATGCAGCTTTGCTTTACCTATTAAACTGTCCTTATCTCAACCCATAAGTTCCCTGTTCTTGACCTTCTGAGTCTCCCCCCATCCTTCTTGTGGGGGGAGTAAGCAAGCAGCTGGGTGGGCATTTAGCTGCTGCCTGGGGCCAACCCACCACAGCACTTGAAATGCCTTGGGCTTGACTGACAGAGCATTTTCAATTAATTAATACAAATTAATTGAATTAATACAAATCTGTTATTTGCTACCAGGGCAGACTGAAAATGGGTACAAACATCATGCTCCTGATCTTGAATGAGGATGTGTCTGAAGGAAAAAGTATTTTTGCTACTCTGACCTTAACAATGATAATCTATGACAAGGGTTAATTGCAAAGGCACATAATTATTGTTGGCTCCTCTTTGAGCATCTCCTGGCTGTGCCTCACAGTGCCAAGGACATTAAGGAGAGAGGGAAAAGCCTTGCTGCTCTGAGTAAGCTCTTCCTTAGAAATACATGACTGTTTTTTCCTTATTATTCTTCCTTTACTCATTCCCAGGACAGCATGTCCAGCTGCTAACAATGTTTTGTTGGTTTTGTGTTTTTTTTTAAAGATCATACAAAAAGTAACTGTCATCATCAGAGCTCACTGGGAGAGGAGCTAAGGGTGCTAGGCAGCTCCTGACTCCCTCCAGATTAATTATTTGTCCTGCTGGGAGTCATACGGGTACAGGCATCTTCTGCCAGCGCTGCGTAACAGTGTGTCACCCAGGTAATTCTTTTCAAAGTGCTGAAACACTTAGGTACACTTCAACCAGATTAAAGTTGTCAATCCTACCAATGCCATTTCCTATTTCCTGAGCAGCAACTCATCTCGAAAACAGGTGTTAGGTATTCCAGTGTCATGTAAGAACCCCTTTAACGCAATAGGACTGACATCAAAGGACCTGCAGGGTGGACAAGTCCTTGCAGATCAGCCTGTGATAACAGACTGAATACCCATGCTGCATGTGGCACAAAAACATCATGGTGCAATTCTATGAATTTGGTAATACCTGCTGTCATTCTGATCACGTGGCAACATTTTCACCACCAAATCCAGTACAGAAGATGAACACAACTGTTCTATGAACACACTAATCCCACATAAATCCCTTTGCCTTTAAAGCACAAGCATTACTAAGGCTTTTGCTTCTTGGTTTTTCATTTGCTTTTAAGAAAGAGACTTACACAGTTCCTGTGAGCTGGTAAATAAAATGAAGCTAAAACTGAAGAAGTTATTTTGAAAACTCTTGTGCCATCCAAGTGCTTTTACTAGCATTTTTGTGCTAGTAGTGAAGAAATTGAAACTCCTCCTGTGCTTACAGCATTACAAAAACAGTGTGTAATTCTTTCTTCTGATGAAATACACCCGTATAATACAGAATTTATGGCTGATGTTAAAAGAAAATGAGATCATATATAAATAGCATATCACCATGTAAAAAGTTACCCCAAAATGTTGCAGTTACATGAATTAATACATATGCAACCTCTCACACCTTCCCTGTAGATTATTGATAACATTTCTCTGTTTTTTTTTTTTCATTATTTCTCACAAAATAAAATAAAATAAAATGGATTATATATCATTGCCATTTTTAATGTGCACAAACTTCACCTTTCTTTCAGTATGAAATACAAATTCTGCAAGGTTAATTAACAAAATGATAATTTGCAGGAAAACTACTAATGAAACTAATTTAATTAGAACAGGAATGACTTCTTAATTCTGCATTCCTTCAGGACCCAGAGTTTTAGCAAGCCTGTACCAAATTTTCCTAAATACAGGTTGACACAATTAGAACAATTCCAGCACAGATTTGCCAGGAAGCAGAGCACCAAAGGTGTTGAAGTTACCCTGGTGGCCATTATCTTCAGCACCCATCATTAAAGAACTCTGCAGAGCACACAGTCCTCCCTCACATGCTTACAGCAGGCAGGACGTTGGGTGGATGAAAGCTAGCAATGGCACGGCAAACAGAGCTAATCTACGGCACTGCTTGTTCAGCAAAAATCCCTTTCCACAAGAATGGGGTCGTCAGTTTCTTTCCAAGCTGCTGTAGCTGCTTGTATTTCTCCACCTAGATAAATTGTCATCTTTTACGTCCAGGTGCACTGGTGAGTCCCTCACTTTCAGCCACTCCCATACTGATCCAGTTCTTTTACTTTAATTTAATCCTGTTATTAATATGTAGAGTTGCTACTTTGATTCTTAATGTGTTTAGAACAATCCTTCCAAGCTGACCTCTTTTGCTTTTGCACTGGGGTTGTCAAACGGGGTGGCTGCGCAACCTGTTATCCCCAGTTCTCAGCACTCCTGCCTTTGACAGAATTCCCTCTCCCCTTTTTCAAGACCTCTTTGCTAGGTGCTCAGGCAAAGCAGTTAACTGTGAAGCCAGACTGATGTTTAAGATGAATCCAGCAAGGAGAAAACAGCACAAATCACTTGGCTTCCCCTCCCGTTAGAGCTAACAAAGGCTCTGGAGTTCCATGCCACGGTCACAGTCATGCAAGTCCATGCCCCCTTGTTCTTCAGTTCCTCACACTGAGATCAGGACTGGATTACACCTGAGCTACACAGTAAATCTTCATTTAGATAGAGATTCATTTTCATCACCTATACTAGGTCCCTAATGCTTTCATCAGACTTTCCAACCAAACCTCCGTTGTACTGCCTACCTTTTATCATCTGGGGTCCATCACTGAGGATCTCTGCAAAACTGACAGCGCAAAGTTCCAAAGCCATCACTTAAATAAGGCAGCAACATCCCACTGGGCTTTTTTAATGTATAACACATATTAATTAAAGGGCAAATCATCCTGGGGAAGGAAAACAAACATCTGTACTTCCTGGTGTTATTTGGATTAGAATTATTAAGTGCATATATCACGAAGGATTTATCGATACTGCTTACATATTTAATATAAAACTTGGAAGGAAAAAAAACCCTGTTTCAAAACAATCCTATTCAAAGTATAAGCACATTTATAAAATATGCTTTCCCATTAAGCACTGGATAGCCTTTTCTAAATGAATTTAGTTAAATATCCTTGATGAGAGAGTAAACAAAGCTAAGTGACAAGCCTCATTAAATTCCTCTCAAAACATACAGCTATTGACTTCAATGGGAGTTGAATCTAACCCTAAATTAAGAGCTGAATTGCTCAAGATTAAAACAACTTGTTTTAAAGCCTGGGGACAGTTTGTTCATTTTTCATTTTTATACTATATTGGTATTCTTCTTTTATTATGTGTACAAACAGGTGGGATGGGATTCCTCTCACCTAATTTCAGACATTTGCAGTGTACACTTCTCAGCCAGCCATGCCAGACTCGCTTTATATTCAATGCAGAGAAACAGCCTCTTTTAAGGCATGATTCATCTGACCCATTTTAGATGTCTACTTCAGAATGAGATAAATTGTGTGCTAGAAGTATTTGGTTTTCTTCATTGAAAGTAAAGGTAATTAGGCAAACTCACTTAAAGAGACCTGTCTATATTACAAGTGTTTACACTTGGTAAAATGAGTATTTCCTCTGGCAGCTGAAGCCATTTAGACCTCTTGTCAATGTATGTAGAAGAGGACTAGTTAGTGAGTTTAGCTGAAGCCTAAATATGTCTTTTACCTGATCTTGCAGGTGGAACTTGCTTGCCAAGGGAAAAAAAATATTTTTTTATAGAATGTTTATTCTTCTGACACTGTATTTGTAAACGACCAACATCAATAGCCACTGATACTTAAGGATGTGAATGGACTACACCTCCAACTTCCACTGTTAAGGGCATTTAAGTATCTATTTATGCCAGTAGAATAAGAACTAGATTCTGATATAATTTCCCTATACAAAGAATCACAGAATCATAGAATGGCTTGGGTTGGAAGGGACCTTAGAGAGCATCTAATTAAAACGCCCTGCCAGGGGCAGGGATGCCACCCACTAGACCAGGTTGCTCAAAGCCCCATCCAATCTGGCCTTGAATGCCTCCAGCATGAGGCATCCACAGCTTCTTTTCAAACATGATAGAGAGAGGCTTGGCAACCCCATCACAATTCCTTCAGGGCCCTGGGGTGCATGGCATCAGGCCTCACAGACTTGTACACGTTTGTTTTCATCTGGTGGTCTCAAACCTGCTATTTGCTTACAGTGGCAGGGACTTTGCTCCCCTAGTCCCTTCCTTGAGTTTCAGGGACTTGAGAGATGTGGGAAGCCTGACTGGCAGCAAAGGCTAAGGCAAAGAATTTGTTGAGTACCTCAGCCTTCTCCATGTCTATTGTCACCACTTCTTCCTTCTCATTTATCAGAGGAGGTACGCTCTATGAGGACTTTCTTTTCTGGCCAAAGTACCTACAGAATCCCTTCTTGTTATTCTTTGCATCCCTTGCCAAGTTCTGTTCCATCTGTGCCTCGGCTTTCCTGATCCCAAAGCAGAGAATTCTGCTTTACGTTAGTAGTCCTCCCACAATAAAAGCACTCTTGGAGTTACGCACTAATGAAGAACAGAGAACTATCTGTGATATAATTAAGCTATAGACAATCTGCTTCTTAGCTGAAATGCAAGGCATTTTCACTCAACAATTTATATTAATTTTCCCTGGTATACTCTCAGCGGCATTTTGATTTCACTATACCAGTTAGTGCATCTTGTCTTCTAAAAAGAGGATTTGAATAAAAGTTTTTTGGTTAAGTAACTTTATTTTAGATGGTGAGATTTTTATTACATTTTACTTATTTTTACTCTCTTTATTAAATTAAAATTAAATGATGATTTTTGTAAGATCCATAAAGTTTCTTCACCAAGTACTTGATATTGTGAGATTCTAAGGAAACCAATCAAAGTTGCTGATAATGTCTCTGATGATCTGATTATTATTCCATAGTAAAAGATGAACTTATCTATAACATGAAACAAAATTCCTCACAATGGGTTGCATTTATATCTTTCAGTCAGTACACAGAAGCTGTATGTGTCTCTGCAAATCTCTGTTTTGAAGACCTAACTGTGACATATATGCTATAAAAAACTTAGAATCACAGAACCATAGAATAATTTAGATAGACGTTGAGAAGTCATCAGTTTGAATCCCGTGGTC